TATATCTACGATTAGTGGAAATAATCATTGGAAATTTAAATATAGATCCAAAAGATAAGTATCCTTATTCAAAATAGCTAAGAAAAATCTCCTGTATATTGATGTTGGATGAATTAGTATTTCAGAAGTATTTATGTTATTTGAAAGCAATGTAATATTATATATATTGAACAATGAGTCAAAAACTGATATCTGTTTTGTTGGATAAAAATAAATAAGAAGCTACTCTATCATGAATGGTGTACCATGCTCATATCTGCTTAACACTTGACTTTGAGTTTTAATCATTTATAACAGTTGAATGTGAAGAAGAATAACAAAAGCCAATGATATGCATGCACTTAAAATGATGTTTAGGTATTATTTTAGAGAAAAACGGACACTAGGTAAAATCATGTTTATCATCTTTAACGCAAATTGAAAAACTAATTACTAATTTCAAGAATTTTATCATTTTTTTTTACAACATTGCTTTTGTACATTGTTAATGGAATAGTCATTGCAATTCTAATTCTCTTATTGATGTCAGTATTAAGTGTTTAGATATTCAAATATTTATTTGTTGAGTCACCTTTTCAGTATGTATAGATGTTTGTAGTAAAATATTATCACATTCTTCTTTACCTTCGTGATGACAAAAGTCTATGAATTACAATGTGTCTGAATGCAATTCTATTCTATAGTGTATTTCTCTATTTATTATATGTATTTATGACTATTATTGTTTCAAATAAATTAAATTGATCTAGCACAAACGTATCGAGTTTGTTAATGCTATTACTAGGCTTTTATGAGTTACGTATTTTTAAATTCAGCATATGGATTAGTCAGTGAAATTCTATTACTCCAATTGAGATATTACATTCCAATCATGAAGTTTATATCAAAATTAGAATAAATGAATCTAACGTGTTCTGTTAATGATAGACAAGCATTTCTTATGTTGAAATCTATGTAGAAATGTGATGTCAGATAACAGAAGAAGAAATAATAGTAACTACTTCAGGAAGAAACTTTACTCAAGAAATAGCAGTTGTAGCTGTACTTATGGATCCACGAATAAGAATTACTGCACCAAAAAGTATTGATGAAAAACATACACAATTAATGAGAGCATATGGAGCTGAAGTTCATTTGTGTGATAGTACGATATGTTCGCCAGATTCACCTAGTGGACACTAGACAGTTGCAAAAGAATGCTCTAAAACACTAAATTATTTTTGTACTCAAGTCTCTGATCTGAGAGAAGGATGTTGAGAAAAAAATGGAACATCATTCACATGGGAGTTAATAAATGACTTGGCGATCTAAAGTCGAACGTGACTGAATCGATTGAGCATAATCATTTTGTTGAGAAGATTGTTTTTGAATAGCGCTGTGACTAAAAATTCTTCACAGGAAGAAGGCAAGATGTCAGAAAAAATAACTTGTTTGCTTGCCAACAATCTCAGTCTTTGCTGCACTTGCAGCCACGTCACTACTCTCATAGAAGGTATTTTCTTAAAGTGAACATGTTTATGTCAAAAATCAGATTTGGAGATGAAAATTGCACAAATGAACTCTTGAGATGCAACGAAGACACAGTCAAAAGCACAAGTGAATATGTCAGACTATAGATCGTGACTTTGATTTGATGAAGATACCAACTTCTGTAAGCTGCTTGTAATAAAAATACTAATATTAAAAAACAAAATTTGTCCTTGAAGTTGTTCTAAATCGTCGTTAGATAGTGATTCAATGATTGATAATAACAGTACTCGTTATTTCGAATGATAGCACGAGCCTATTGGATGATTGTACTACAGAAGCAATCCTGTGTTGGTTTGAAGACGTTTTTTACTTCTATAAAGATTACTTTTTTTTTTGAAGAAAAATTAAGTGCTTCGATAAGGGCATAGCGCAATATCGAATTTCTATTTATCGAAAGATCAGGCCGTGCGTTTCTTCATTTTCAGTAAATGCGAAAAACATTATCTATCCATTAGATATAAATATGGATTCCACCGCTATTCTGTCTCATTTTAACGCGAGCGATGGTTTCAACAGCAATTCGTTGTTTCGTATTCGTTCTATTCAGGTAATTCTAAAATCTATTTTTTTCACTCTTCATCTAATGTTGAACAATCTTTCTTTTCAGCCTTACAGGTTTGATTCTTGTTTCGTTTTACATGTTCCGCTATTAATTTAGTATATCAGTAGTTCGAGTGAAATCTCAATTCTGTCATGGAATATCTCAATATGATCGATGTTCGCCAAATAGTGCATGTACCTGTTTCTATATAGCAGGTGCTCTTGGTGTTGGCATTTGTGGTGATGAGTTTGTGGATTGTTCTGAGCTAGTTTCATGCGAACTCTCAAGCAACGTTTGTGATGAATCTAACCATAGATGTGTTCATCATCCTCGATGTCATAATCTTCCTGTTTGTTATCCAATACCAAGTTTCAATCAAAAACTTTGCCCACCGATAACAAGTAAGAGAACAAACAGTGATCTATAGAGAGTGCAGGTGTGGGTGTAGACTTAAATAAAAAAAGACCAACACCGACACTCCGCAATAACTTTCAACTTATTAAAATCTATCATCATTTGGGGCCTTTCACTCCATCTAGTCATACATCAGAGAAAATGAATCGAAGAATGACATTGAAACATGTCATTTTTATTTTTTTAATTTTGAAGTACAGAATGTAGAAAGCATATCTTCAGATATACTGGTATCCTCAAAATTCAATTTCTGAGCTAATGCCAGATGTATATTATTAAATACAGTGTGTTACACTTCTGTCCGGCAAAAAATAGAAGATGTAAAGAAAATATTGTTGTTATAATTACTCTTCTTAACATTTCATATATAAAATCATTGGATACGTCTAATTCATTGAATGTCAGAATTAAATGTATCTGCTGCAAAGTTTTTTTAATTAGATATTATTTTCTTTTGACGATTAGCAACGAATACGACAATGACAACAATCTCAAGCACTGAACCGATCATGACCATACCAATCACAACAACAAGTAAGTTTTTTTGTCTTTCTAGAACAAGAAGATTCAACAAAAAATAAAGAAATGTCATTGAAATGAGACTACACAAGTTCAGAGTCATTTATCTTTACTATCAACTTTTTTTTATCAACCAAGTCTCTATTAAAGTGAAGAAAAGATAAAAACAACATTATTTTATGTGATCGCTATTTGAATTTATACTATTAAGAGTAAAATTCTATTTCGTTGATTCAGACGAAGACTTCATTAGATATAGAACGAGACGAAGAACGCTAAAAAGTAGTCAAAATTGAAGTAATTCAACTAATAGAAAAGAAGAAGCTTTGCATCTAACGGCAAAACTGACTATCAATTTTTTTTCTTGTCAATGGAATACTCTCTGTTAATCAAAAGTTTTCAGACTTGAAAATAATGAGTATTTCTCTTCTGTATAGGGAAATCTTTTTGATAAATGATAATTTGAAGTGATAGATCAGTATTTTAACGAGAACTTTACTATTTTCCAAAATATTTTGAAGAATTTTTGTTGATGCAAGAGTTTTCAGCTAAAAGCACACTCCTCCTTTTTTTGCTCTCTATGAAGATTTTTGTTGAATACAAGAACTGATGACTTTTCTGCTTATCACGTCGAGCACTCTTTCAGATTAAAGACTATTCTTAGTATTCATCTCATAGGACAACCTCTTCCGATGTAAAATCACTTTTCATCCGAGGCTATTTTACTATTAGATCGGTCTCAGTGAGTAGTATAAAGGTGTATCTTGGTTTTGATTCATCGATCTCATGGACTCACGTATTGCAGTTTTAGTCAATTTTCCAGCATATTCCAGGATTACAGTGCGGTACACTTGCTTCGAACTTGAGACCTGAAAATTGAACAGTGAATAGTTTTCAATTGCAGTAGTCAAAATCTAAGGTTTCAGAATTTTTTTTTAACCGTCGATGCAGAGGTATGAATTAACTTAACAAGAGAACCAATTTTTTCGAAAACTGATATCTCAGACCTCAGATCAGAAGTAAATGTAACGTATTCTAATTCCAAAATCTGCTAAAAAATTGGCTGAAAATGCAACATCTCAGACCATGGAACCTAGGAATCGTAACCAAGATTTACTTTTATACTACTCACTGGAATCTATCTAATGGCAATAGTCTTGGGCGAAAAATGATTTTATACCTGAAGAAATTGTCTCGTCAGTTTTGATCATCTCACTTTTCCACTACTCAACTGTCTCCATTGTTTAATCTTTGAGGTAAATTTGATGAGATGACATATGTATGCGTCCTAATTTAATCAACAAGAAAAAAGAATCTGTTGTATTCAATTGATTGATACCTTTTGTCCTCTCCGTTTTCCTAGCTGTATCTTCATCAGTGACACATGATAAGGGTATTTGTGCAACTGCAACATGGGCTCAAAATGGTCAAACTGTAGCTGGTGGTAATGGTAGCGGATCAGAATTAAATCAGTTCGATAGACCATTTGGATTATTTGTTGATGAGAATCAAACTATTTATGTGGCAGATCGCTCTAACGAGCGTATCATGAAATGGAAACGTGG